TTTATGAGCTACAGGAAGTCGTCAGCCCCAAAAATAAACAAATAATCCTCAGACAAAATTCTCCATTTGAATAAAGTGATTCATCACATTAAATGACTGAATTTTTAATTCAATCAACTATCCTTAATGAATGTAGCTTGTCAGTTTCGCCAACCTCCAGGCAGCAGACTAACCCCATTAAAAGGCGAAAATAATCGTTCTCTTTGGGATCATAATCAGCATTCTTAAAATTTTCCCAAACCAGCAATTTTTTTTAAACATCTTTTTACAGCGGGTACATGAAAGCCATTCTCGAGTTTATGGTAATGAGTGCATTCTGACACACAAGCTGCTGTGGTATTCATGTCGCGATGACTGTGCCCTCTGAGCGGTATTCCTTCATGGCCCAGGAATTTAGCTGATCTGAATAAATGTTACAACACTGTCCCTTGCAGAATGTTGACTCCTAGCTGCAAACTCCCAAAACATAGCACTGACTGGAGTTACTTAAAGCATCGCTAACACAGGTAATGAATCAGAGTGCAGGTCTGACAACTCATACTGACCAAGTTCTTTCTTTTGCTTTTTCCCAGTTGCTAAATCCCCCTTTAGCAAACAAATTGTCACTGAGGTTGTGCGGATAAAGCAAAGTATGAGGTAGGTTTCTTTAACACAATGAAATCATTGCCATTTTCAAACAAACCTCATTGAAAGGATCTGTCAAATCACCCTGTGATTCTCTTCAACGACATTGTTTAGCTCCTCCGGCAACTGCCAAAATCCCCCTACGTGCTGTCTGCACTCGACCTTTTGCACTTTGACCTGACGTGATGACGATTGTTGTCAGGTTGGAGAAATGAATTTATTTATATCGAATAAAATAATATTTAGGCTATGTTTCAATGCCTTTGTTACAGGAACTGTATTACAAATTGTTGTAAAGAGGCTGCATATTTTAAAGTTGTTAATGTTTAAACATTGTCTGTGTGCTCATACTCCCTGCCAACAGGGGGTGCTGCAGCACCCTCAGCACCTACCTTCTTGCACCCATGCCTTTAAAGCCTTTATTTGTACCCAGCACATCTGCAACCCCAGATGCTCCCTCCAGATTTAGTTGCCACTATGAGCTTAACCAGCATCCACTATGGACCGCAGTTTAGTGGACGATTAGGCCCCCACTGCATCGGAATTATCAGGCTACAGAGATTGGGGAGCCAGAGAGATATTTTTTTCCAGTTACTCATTTTCCACTTCTTTCTTTCCCTTCACGCGTCTGACCTGGGTATGGAGCAATTAGGTATTTTGTTCATTCCTATTGTGTTCACAGAATAGGCCACATGTTTCTGTTTTCACTTCCTGGCTCAGCGCCAAAGTTGCACCTGTGTTGCCATCTATACACTAAATGAGGAACTTGAACATAAGCAGAACATACTCTGACACCAATATACCAGTACACAACAGGCCCCATAGTGCTAGAGTCAAATGGAAACTACAGTTGCATCAAAATTATTCAACCCCCATTGCAAATTTGGTTTACTGGCAAAATTTACAAACTTTCAGCTGTTTGTGATGAACAGATTAAACAAGAACATTTTAAATAGCTCAACACAACTAATATTAGAAGTGGTTTCTCCAAATTTAACGCAAATTGGCACTTTTAATAACTACTGCAGGCTCAAAATTATTCAACCCCTTCATGACAACATGACACATGTTGTTGTGTTGAGCTATTTAAATTGTTTTTGCCTGATTTGTTCATTGCAAACAGCTGAAAGTTTGTGAATTTTGCCAGTAAACCTAATTTGCAGCAGGGGTTGAATAATTTTGATTGCAACTGTATATACGTTGCGACCAATTTTTCTGCCCCAGGGTATATAGGTGGGTTTTTTTTTCCTGACCAATTTTAAACGGTCAGCAATAGGCAAGAGGTTGAAAATATTATTTTATGATTTCTCATGCACAATTTTGAGGGCTCAGACAGTGTGAAAAACCACTTGGATAGCTATCTTATTTGGCTCATAAACGGTAGATAATTTTGAATATCACACTCAGATGAAGCACACTAGTGGTTAAGGAGTTTATGATCCCAGAAATGTATTGTTTTAACTCCCGAGATTTTTCAATTCTCAGAAATTTTTTTTAATATCCAAGTTGAATTTTCAAATTTTCATGAAGTTTTTTTGTGTTTGCAGCCCTTAATTTGTACTAAAATTAGTTAATATAAACTGAAATACAATGGGAATCTAAAAGCAACAAGTTTCTTGTTTCATTCAAGCCGCCACCCTCACCCCCCTCCCCCCTCCCCTGTGAGGCTCAAATCTTGAATTATAAAACCATAAACAGGGTAAATAACCAGATTTGACTTCTGCACAAAGAGTTTAAGAAGTGTGCAGGCATTTAGCTAACTGCAGTAGTCATCACTAAAACTGATACTGTGGACAGGTAAACATGTTCTATGGATTTGTTGGAAACCTCATGGCCAGTGAAAGATTCAACGATAGCCCAGTTTTTTTTTTGAATCCTTTGTTTATTAGATTTTTTGCATGACAAGTCAGTAACAACAGTGAAGAGAACATCCAACTCATGTAATTTGTCACAATAAATATTATCAAAGTTAAAATTAGAATTAAAATTACAGGCTTTAAATGAAAATCAAGGATAAGAGGTTATGAGTAAGAGCATTGTTTTCAGCTCTGGTTTAACCGAAAAGAAAGAAAGCAAGGAAAAAAAAAGATAGTCCAGTTTTATCTTACTGCCAGAGGTGACCAGATTATGGTCTAAAACCTCCTGGAGTTTGATTGGATGCCATGCATGCAAATTAGGTTCCATCAAAAAGCAAAAAATATCCACCAAATCTTGTCAGATTCAGCTCACCAGGCAAACTCGCCTGGCAATTACAGATCCACAAGCATTGACTCAGAGTGTGATTAATTACTTATTTCTATGTTTAGTGGGGAGGTGGCCTACGCAAATTTACCATCGCCATTTGAGGTTCTCCGGGATGCCAGAGTCACACTGCCATTGTCTCTGCCACCTTTGAGCAGTAGCCACCAAACCCACGAAGAGAATCAGGTAGCATTAAAAGAAACCAAGTAGTCTATAAGTATTAGCACATGTATGGGAGGGGCTACAATGCAGACACAATTCAGGCAAATAGGCTGTCAATAATTATTCAAAATAAAGCTGACAGTCTCAACTTTAACATCATATGCAGTCCTGAGTGCTGTAGAACAGAGACAACAAAACCAAATCTATGTTGCTATTAGTGTCGGAATCGGTTTTCCAAAATCGATTCTCAGATACAATCCGACTCAATTCTTGAGTTAGAATTCGATTTTATGGTATGTGGAACATGAATACATAACAGCAAATAATTGAAACTACATTTGCCCAGATATTGATGTGATTTGCTTCCAATTCAGCACTGGATCACAGATACTAGTTTACTTGCTTCACTGATAAGAACTTGCATTCCTGTAGCTTGAAATAAGGATATTTTCCCTTTTAAAACAATATTGTTGTCTACTGGACTTTTTTTAAAAAGTATCGCTTTGGATCAAGTTACCGACGTAACCAGGTTTTCAAAGCATAAATTTTGCTAGTAGTTTTGCCTTTGGTTTTGCGGTGTAAGGTGTTCATTTCCATTCACCTGGCAACACTTTATGTATCTTTTTGAGTTAACCAATAAAATTATGAATTTACTGAACAAATTATTCCAAAAAACAATATTTAAAGAGGTTAATCATGACAAAAGCACATAAGTACTGTAATTTTGGGGGCCTATTTTTACTCTACTACGGTAATATCTATAACCACTCAGCACCTGTGTCGAAAACTAGGTCATTTTCCTCCACGACCATTTTCAGTAAAGAGTGGTTATAAGAAATTTGTTTCCTTTGCTTGTTGGTGTGTATTTCAAATAAAATATTTTGATTTTCCATCAGCATAGAATCTAGTCTTTGCAAAGCCCCGAAATAAAGTATTTTTTCAGGAACAGTAGTGTAGATGGACAGTTGCATCGAAAACTTGATCCTCTCCCCTACTTAACCCTTAAACCCAAACGCCCCCGGTATTGGCAGCGGTCGTTATGCATAATAAATACAGTATGTTTCCTAATGGCAACAACGTCATGCAGCTTATCCACTTTGCGGAGAAACTCGGCAAAAAGCTCATTTTGACCATTTTCACCTCAACCGAACACAATTCAAGCACCAAGCAAGTAAATAACCATGTTGCAAAACATAGGATAAAATCATATCAGCGCTGAGTCGCTAGCATTTTTACTGAATTTGTGCTATGCATACAAATGATACCTCAAATGAAAGAGGAAAGGCCACAGAATCCAAAGATATAAGCCTTGTCATTTTAAACTGACACCACACTCAAAGAACAGCAGACATACACTTTACAGTCTACAGAGGTGAGCAAAAAAATTTCTTGCCTTTAATATTTGATATTTTGTCTCAAAAAACTGTTTGAGGATAAATCTGCGCTTGCTATTGTTAGCCCAAGGTGTCCATGTTATAACGAAACTAGATCTTCCAGTCTCCAAGCATGTTTTTTGCCCAAGGCATTGCTTCAAAGATCTGAGCTCCTTAGCATTCAGCTTGCTTGCAATGTATTTTCCTCTCTGTGATCGGCTTGAGATGCTGTCAGTAAGACTTTGGCGGTAGCCATTTGATTCTATGGGTTCTGATGTTTCCAACGAGCTCTAAAGCGCCTTAATTGCACAAACCTAGCCTGAGCTAGAGCCTTGCGTTCCCAGTGCGTCAAACTCAGTCCATGGGCCTTTCGCATGTACTTGAATAGCGCAACAATATAAACGCTTAACTGGTTTGATTGTGGTATTTTCCGTTAAATTATCCGCTAAATACTCAACAGTCGTTTTCAAAGTAGTTTTCTAACAGAATCTTTGCGCCATTCAGCGTGAATACTGAGAGCGCAACAGTACAGAACGTGTTTTCTTGACTCATTCTTTATATCGGCAATTTGACAATTGACAATTTGACATTTTTCAGTCAGCTGATATAACCTTGTGGTTAAGGTGAAGCACTGCATCCTAGGTTGCCAGGGTTCAATTCCCGGTCTCGGCATTAACATGACCTTTGTATTTATAATTTTATTTATTTTCTTTTTTTCTTTAATAAATCTGCTTCAGTGGAGTCAAACTTCATTTTCTTTGTATGTATTATCTTTGAATGGGAAATTGTATAGGCTACAGGACTGGCAGAAATAATAATTAAAAAAAAATTTTTTAAAGTGGTTGTATTTGGATGGAATGTATGCCTGTAGTAACGTATAAGTGAAATTAAATGAGTTTTACAGTTTGGTATCTGAGAAATATGAAACGGTACACAGTGCTAGCTTGGAGAGGCCACCAAACATTTTTGAACTAAAACCTCTCTAATTTTGCTCTGATTTACTTGGTTAGAATAAATGTTGGCACAGATAATGGTGAGATTCTGTGCTGTATTTTTTTTGGGTTTCAGACTGCAACTGAATAATTTTATGACTAATAAAAGTAATAATTTGTTTGGTGCAAAAAAGATGTTTCGTTTATGCGGTTTCCATCTTCATTAACTCTGTCTCAGTGACATATACACAGATTTTTGCACCATTACAAAAATTCCCAAGGTGTTACCTTTATTACGATACCAAGATTATTCAAATCAACCAATTCGTTGCAGACATATAGCCATTTCATTTTGGGCTTGCATTTTCAAGCCAGAGGCTCAGGGCTTTAGGGGTTAAAGGAAGCTGATCTGAAAATACAGTACATTGACCTATGGGACGACTGCATGCAATTTCGAGTGGTAACATGAAGTTCAGTAATGCCAAATACTGCTCAAATTTAATGCTCAGGGATAAAATGACAAAGAAATGAAATGTAAAGCGATAAATTTTCGTTTCAATCTGAGCTACTGTTAATAAACACCACTCTCCTGTGAATAAGCAATAGCTTGGTTCATTTGCGTTTCTCATTATTTCTGAATCTGCTTGTTCGTCACAATTTCAGAGAAAGACTAGTCTCTCCTTCAGATGATTTTGTATTTCTTTTTATTGTCAGACATCACATTAATTAGCTATATGGCTAGCAACATAGCCAACAAATTTGACATGGCTCTGGATGGGTGAGAAGAGAGATATGAAGCTGACATCTGCTTGATAACTTGGGTGCTCAAAACACAAGTAGTCAAAGTGGTTCAAGAGAAGTAAGAATTTTATTTTGGGAGGAAATTCGCTCAAAAAAGAACTGCATTTTATAGTGTTGTACTCATTGTATTTTTAGGTTTTCAGCCACACCAAGGAAGGCACAGGGTAGATAGGGGCTCCTATACATCTCGCGTAGGTGTGTGTTGGATGTACAGACTTCCAAGAGAAGGAGCGATTGCCACCTGCTGCATGATCTATTTGGGTGGATAGAGAAGGCAGTCAGGGTTTTTTTCATTGTATAATTTTGATGCTGCAGAAATCAGCTTTACTGTCTCTCCAGCTGTTTCATTTGGTTTTATTGTTTTTGTTTAGTTGGCAATGCTCGTAGTTGTGAGCTTTGGTCGTGTGCCGGTGCATCTAGTTTGTGTTTCGTGCCTGTTACATAGCACCAATCACAATACATTTTTGTGTTTTGTGCCGGTTACATAGCACTTATCACTATAAATGCATTTTTACTCATCTACATGTATTTATCACTGTTAAAATACACTTCTTCACATAAATTGTTGAGCACTTTGATGCCGTTTCTCCCCTCCTTCCCATCCGCACTTCTGCAGGTTACTTGCAGGTAATTTTGTTTTTACATATCCATCTTAACTCCCCAAGATTTCCAGGGCCGTAACAGAATAAAATTTTAAAATGGAGGACTTAGGATGAATGCACCTTTTTATTGTATTTTTTAACCACTGTTCAGCTTTGTCCCATTATGCATTACATGAACAAGAAAAATAAAACAGTGAGAGGAACGCAGTTTTAACAAGGGTCCCGTCAAGGCATCTGTCACGGCTTGGACAGCAGTTATCCTCCACTTAATTTCTTCAGTCTGCCTCAGAGTCACAATGGAGATTTGTTTGTTGAGTTACTACTTTATCAGGGAGAAAAATGAGGCTTGAGATCTTCTTTTATTTCAGCTCACCATACAATGTACAAGGTGTGAGAAAAATATTGGAAGTACCCCTGAAAATCTGATGTAACTTTGAAGTTTCTAAAATATAGTCACCAAAAGCATATATATTGGTAATTTCTATTCATTTGACTTGAAATAAGCAGGGGCCTTATTCACAAAGCCCTTAAGAAAATATCCTAAAATATTCTAAATTCAAAGTAGAACCATAATCGCAGTTCAACAGAAAGAACTGAACCAGGTTCATATGGCCTTTTAAACTGCTGTAAGATTGTGGAGCTGAGAAGAGGCAAAAACGCATAAATCTGTAAACAAAACCTGATAAAGAAGCTCTACCAGGCTGCTCAAGGCCAGGGAATGACCATATCGGTAGTCAACCAACAGGTGGTCCCATTATACGAACACGCGCACTTCAGTGTCCTGGAAAAATCCAAAAACCAGCCGACTGACCTTAAGGTGAACCCAAGGTTTGGGAGGATCAGGTGTGGTGCTCGAGCGTCCCTGGAGGCTTAAAATGAATTTACATTACTATATAATGGCAAACTTGTAACTAAGGGTGGATGGTTACTATATGACAATGTACCAGTCAGAAATTAATAATGTTTGATAAGGTAGAATGAGTCACGTTTAACCCCACCTAAAGGGACGTCCCAAAAGGCTAATAAATACGAGGGTTTGGGCAATTGGTGGTCAGTTTGTGTGGGGTGATTGATGAAGAATGAATGCTACTTGGTTTGCAAAGACCAGCCTGGGTTTTTGTATTTCACCTGGAATGACTTAGAATAAACCCAATCGCATCAGACTCTTGAGAATGTGTCTATTCCTTGAGGATAGATTTACAAGAATGAGAGGAACACTTGAACACTTGCCCGGACTAAGTTTTTCTACAACACCCTCTTAGGGTTTCGAGCGCGAAAACAGCTGGTAACTCCCTCATAGTATGTTACATGATATTCATGATCCACCTGTAGATTTTAAGAGCATGTGTAATGTGATTATAACTTACAGAAGGTCTGGAGCGATCTTAACGTCGACTTAGTTTGAGAGCGTGTTCAGTTGAGTTCATCGGAAAAATTAGATCTCATGATTCAGGGGATTCGAAGAAGGCGGTTGCATTGTTTATGATAGAGGATGAAAACAGGCCAGCTCTTTGAAGGGAATGTGTTTTCAGAGATCGCCTGCATACATTAGACTTATATGATGATGGAGAGCTACTTCGGCAATATAGGCTGACCCGTCCTGTTCTTCTTAGGGCAATCGACCTCATAAAAGACGACATATCACCCTACATCCGCGGTTCTCAAAGTGTGGGGCCTGCCCAATTAGTGGCGAATGAAGAATATGCAGGTGGGTCACGACAAACTGAAGGAAATACATTGATTTTGTGCCTATGTTTCTTAATGCCTTTCTTTAATGTCAATAAAGATCATACACTCTGGACAAAACAAAAATAAATGCAGTCAGTCATTAATATATTCATACATGTCCATCTCTTTGGGTTCCCACCTGTATTACCTCCCGTTAATATCCCTAAAATCCTTTAAAAAAACAATGAATTTTAAAGGTATTTTTTGAATATAACTTTTTTTCATGAATGACATGATAAATGGAGTGCGAAAATATCATTCAAATATTTTGACTTGCTTAATAAGCTTTCTATTCAAGCAGTGGCGGCTCCTGACAAAAAATTCAGGGGGGGCAATTTTTACGAATAATCACACCGATGAGCTATTTGTGGAGTACATTAACAGACTGTGTCTCAATCTTTTTGGGCCTGTTAAATAAACTCATAATCATTGCCTGTTATGTCCATTAGGTGGCGACATACAACAGAAAGAGCTGGACAGAAGTTAGCTATTAGTTAGCAGAAGTTAGTCATTTCCCTTTATTACTCCACTTTCCCACTAATTCATATAATTCAAAACGCCCATTTTGTGGAAGTAACATGCATGGACTGAATGTAGAGATGGTACAAATACTGGTAGGTAGGTGGCAAGGTCATCGCCTCAATTTACTTTATAGCAATGCCTGTTATGTCCACTAGAGAGCAGCACTGCGACCACACAACAAAGTTTTCCTCTAGCTACTTGAGTTGCAATGATAAACTGTGGTGAAGAAAGTCACAGCCAGGAGCCGTCAACTCAAATGTAAAGAATGGTTTAGCAGTACAATTAATCACTTCACTTATTGATGAAGACGTGATATCTGTTTGGGTGGCTACACATTCCTACAGCCAAAAAAAAAAAAAAAACTGACAAGACGGCGAAGTTGCAATTCATCTGCAGGAAGTGATTAACTAGCAAACTGCGTATCAAAATGCTTTTGAATTTAGTACATAGTCTGGCGAAAGTTTCTTTGTTTTACACAAGGGTAAAAACCCAGCCGTCACCGGCTCCATTACTGAATGATATCACATTAGCTGTGGGCAAAATTCAAGCACGAAAGTACAGTCCCCAAGCTTAACCGCATGCTGGATATCAGCAATTCCGAACAATAAAGATCTCAGTCCAATTTCACAACCGCTGTAGCTGACAAGCTAAATATTTGCCAAAGAATATAGTCGGCTAAAGCTGAGGTTTTTCGGAAACTGGGATTACGATTATGCATGAATATTCAATGGAGCTACTGGTGAACCCCTCCACTTTAAATGTCAAATTGTTTTGTTAGCCTGTATAACTGCTAAATGTGTGGGTATCAATATACATCCCGCGTGTGACCGTAGATGGACACTAATTACATGGCAAACGCTGGTAAATTCACCGAAAACTAAAATGACCACTGGCTGACAATACTGCTTTCTGTCGGTTCAAAAAACATACTTATTGGGATCTTTGAATTAACGTATCAGGGGACTGTATAATGTATTACAGTGGGAACATGGTCACCCATCATTTTTTACTGGTGTGAGCACACGATATCCTCTTGGGTGGATACTTCAGGTCTCCGTGCAGATAGCCACTCAAGCACCTACTCGCT